GGTTATTTCCAATAAAAGTATGGAAAAATTGGTACATATGGAAAGCATAGACGTCCAATCTTACTAAAAAATAAAAAAAATACTGGATTACCCGAAAAACACCCATGGGGTAAGCACTGGGCAAAAATGTCAGTGTATCACTAACTGGCAACCCGACGGCTTATTGTCTGCCACCTTGACTTAGGGAGCGGTTGTTATATCTTGATCGAATGGTTAGGCAGTTTGGGGATAATTGAAGTGTGTAAACCTATAACAACTCTGCATTTAAAGGGCGGAAAAGGAAGTTTGCAGAAAATAATTCAAGAATTTATTTAGGCCTCAATATGTATGGTAAATGGACAGTAAGTAATGACAAATACATTCTGAAAAATGGGCCCTGTCTCAGTCAAGTTAGGTGACAAACATGACAAACATAAAAATAGATTTTTTTATAGCTTGGGGTACCGAATCTTTGTTTACACACTGATTTTGACCAAACTTTCAGAATAAACACCAAATGACCCAATTAATCGTTTAGCATCAACATATTACCTGCTTTCAAAGTTTTAAACTTTTTAAAAAAAATCAATTTACTGACGTCACTTGTAAAAATAATCTAGATAAAAATATAAAAAATCTAATCTCAACGTTCGATTCCTAATAGTGAATGATTTTCAAAAATATCAAGCGGATAAGAATTGTGGGACGAGATAGATATTAAAGATTGACTAACATTTTCAAAAGGGTGGCACTTCCGGTAAATTTTAACTTGATGATAATACTCTAAAAAGTTTATAGTCAACTCCTATTGACACATATTTTTAAGTCCGGCAAAATCAAAGAAATTGAAAAATCTGACCTCGTTTTCCAAAGGGCTTAATCCAGGGCCATACTAAACACCGGAAAACAACCGGAAAACAACCGGAAAACACCATTTTATACTGAATACCGGAAAACACCGGAAAAACACTAAATACCGGAAAACATCCTAAATACCGGAAAACACCCTAAATAGGTAACCCGGAGCCTGGTCCTCTGTGTGCGGTTTTGGACCAAGTGAGCGCCGATGAAGGAAGGTCAAGGTCATTACGATGTTCGTTTTACAAATAGCCCGCCCCCCCCCCCCCCAAAAAAAAAAAAAATTTCCGATTTTTTTTCTCAAAAATTTTGTTGATGCCCATTATGTTTTTAATGTTGTAAAAGACGCAATCAGTCTACCTCCATCATTGACCATATTTTATTTTGTGTTTTAATTTTAGTTTTCAGTAAATTTTAGTAGATTTCAGTGTTTCAGTATTTCAGTAGATTAAACACTGCCCTCGGAGGGCCCCATTATATACCGGTTGCGCCGGTCTCCTGATTCTTACCAGTAACGCTGGCATCAGGGTTGTACGAATTAGTGGAAGGCACGACTAGGCCAACTCCTCCCTAGGTAACAAAAAATCGCATCATAAAACAGCAAGTATCATCAAAAGCGAGTTCGAGTTGAAGTTCCAGGTTTAACCGCTATGTGTCCTAATCACCAAACGAAATGGATGCCACGCAATTCTCGGACAGGCTGTAATCTGAAAAGTGTCTATCCTTTCCAAGAGCTATCCATCTCGTTGGAAGTGCTAAAAATCTACTTGTTTCTGAGCTTACTTTCATTCCAGGGTCAAATATAATCACTTGAACACTAATAATAATCAACATATTCCATCATATTCCGAGGGCCGCACACAGGATTTTTTTCTGGATTACTTTTCGAGCTTTTTTCCCCAACTTGTTGACCAGTTTTCCTTGAGAAAACCTCAACTTTCGCCCAATTGTCCATGAGAAAACTACATATTCTATCTTACTGCATTGACGGGAAGTGGTAAGCTGGACGTCTGTGAAAAGGGTTGATCGATAAATTTTCAAGGAAGCAATTGTTGTTTTTGTTTGTGAAATAGAGGACTCTAGCCGATGGGGCTACTCCCCCCCCCCCCCCGAGAACCTCAGGCAACCAATTTGTTTTATGTACTACTATCGTAATAAAACATTACTATGTTAACCACTTCCTGGTGGCTGAAGACTTACACCGAATGCGTATTCGGAAAAAAATGTCCACGAGAAAATGTTTTTTCCGACAATCGATATTCGAGATGTCTTCTGTTGCACAAATTATGCTGCACTGTGTAAGAACTTGCATCCTTTGATATGAAGATTGTAGATGGAAAAGTATCATTTGCACTATTTCAAAGTAAACCTGCATTTTCGTATATCATCCCGTAATTTGTGATTAATGACAATGACTGTGGAAATAATATGGGTTGAGGAACGGAAGATCTATGTTCATCACGTGACTGGACAATTCCACCCCCGTCCCACCCTGACGATGATCCCTTCCGAAGCGGCGCGACGCGGCGCTCTCTCTAAAAAAGTTTACTCTTCTAAGTTTTCCGGTAGCTATTTAGTAACCCGGAGTTTGGTCCTCGTGTGTGGTTTTTGACCAGGTGAGCGCTGATGAAATAAGTTCATTAACATAAAGCGACCGATCGCCCACGGTCAAAGAAAAATTTCTTTTCAGATTTTTTTTAACAATTTCTTCTCCCAAATTTCTCTCAAAAAAAATTTAAATTTTTTTCACGACCTTGACCTTCCTTCATCGGCGCTCACTTGGTCCAAAACCGCACACAGAGGACCAGGCTCCGGGTTACTTATTTAGGGTGTTTTCCGGTATTTAGGGTGTTTTCCTGTATTTAGTGTTTTTCCGGTGTTTTCCGGTTTTCAGTATAAAATGGTGTTTTCCGGTTGTTTTCCGGTTGTTTTCCGGTGTTTTCCGGTATATAGTATCGCCGCAAATTATGCTACACTGTGTAAGAACTTGCATCCTTTGATCTGAAGATTGTAGATGGAAAAGTATCATTTGCACTATTTCAAAGTAAACCTGCATTTTCGTATATCATCCCGTAATTTGTGATTAATGACAATGACTGTGGAAATAATATGGGTTGAGGAATGGAAGATCTATGTTCGTCACGTAACTGGACAATTCCACCCCCCGTCCCACCCTGACGATGATCCCTCCCGGAGCGGCGCGGCGTGTGGCGCGCTCTCTAAAAAAAATCTCGGGCACAGTTTACTCTTCTAAGTTTTCCGGTAGCTATTTAGTAATGCGGAGTTTGGTCCTCGTGTGTGGTTTTGGACCAGGTGAGCGCTGATGAAATAAGTTCATTAACATACAAGCGAGCGAACGGCTACGGTCAAAGAACAATTTCTTTTCAGATTTTTTTTAAGAATTTCTTCGCCCAAATTTTTCTCCAAAAAAAATTCAAATTTTTTTTCCAGTATTTTTCTCTGTAAAATTATTTCCTACGGAATGTTTTTTTTTGTAAAACCAATTTTTCGGAAAAATTCGATTTTTTAACAATTTCTTCTCCCAAATTTCTCTCAAAAAAAAATTTAAATTTTTTTCACGACCTTGACCTTCCTTCATCGGCGCTCACTTGGTCCAAAACCGCACACAGAGGACCAGGCTCCGGGTTACCTATTTAGGGTGTTTTCCGGTATTTAGGATGTTTTCCAGTATTTAGTGTTTTTCCGGTGTTTTCCGGTATTCAGTATAAAATGGTGTTTTCCGGTTGTTTTCCGGTGTTTTCCGGTGCTTTCCGGTTGTTTTCCGGTATATAGTATTGCCGTTCAATTTTAATCTTAAAATTAGGTCACACGCATGCGTGGTAGAGACCACACATTATATTGGACAAACCTTATGAGAGAGAGAGAGAGAAATGGGGTTTAACGTCCACTCGACACAAACTAGGTCATTTCGGGACTAACATATGGTTTAATTTTTATTTACATAATTCGCTTGCGCGTAGGGGTCTTTAGCAGTGGGAGGAAACCGGAGGCCCCGGAGAAAACCCACGAGGTTGGACAGGGACAAACCTTATGAGTTACGAACACCTACCAATGGTGAAACCGCATTTAAATTCATTGAAAAATATAAAAAAATTCATTTGATGTCTAATATTGGTCTATTTTCGTCTATGACGTCACTTCCTGATCACATCTTTAAAGTTCTAGTTATTTATTATGCTTTTGAACTAAATACCTTTCAGATAGTATAGAGTTCAATTTTGTAGAATATGTACTTTTTCCTAAAAAGAGTAAAAAAAATAAAAATAAGAAAAAGAATCTTTATAAAAACAATAGTTTTATACATAGTAGTATAGAAACTAATGACAGAAAGATAGAACACGGCATCGGAAAAAGTAGAATGAGAACAAAACTACAGTATGCTTAAGTACCAACCGAGACTACTCTCAAGAACCAACCGAGATTACTCTCGAGAAACAGCACATAAGTAAAATGCAGACAGTTTGGGTTTTGTTTTACAAAATTACGGGAACAATATTATGGATTATATTTTCCGCCGAATTCGGATTACAGATGGAACCTCTTACCTGTGCTACCAATTTTAAACGGAACCTTGTCCCACTCTAACTACTAGAAACAATCTGCTTCTCAGTCCCCGAGGCACCATCTGGAAACTGAGCTTTAAATTCGAGAAGGGTCGTCTCGGTCCACTCGGGATGCGAACCAGGGATGTTCTGGTTGTGAGCTGGGATGAGAACCCGGGACATTCTGATTGTCGATTGCCCTGCACCACCCCTCAACCTCCCTACTCTCTCTACAAATTCTACATATAGCCGTATAATATTATTTCCAGCTACTGTTATTACGGCCGGAACAGAACCCAATAAAATAACGGGTCATTACTCTTAGAAACAGATTTTGTAAATCATAGAAATGAAATGAAATGGAGTTTAACGTCCTACTGTTCTGCTCCTAACCTGGGCTAATGAAGACTGGTAAATCGTAGAAGGTTGTTGATCTATCAATCAAACTCGAAGTCATCGCATACATCTCGAGATCGGCGTACGCCTTGTAAATGACGTCGAATTAAATTGCCACGAGCAGTAGAGATGGTATGAGTGTGAAATGTGCGTGGGATGTCAATAAATTTGATTGGTGATAGAAATTGTAGAAGTTGTCAATAACAGGTTGTAAGAATTATTTAAGGGCTGCAGGATAGTTGTGGTGAAAGGGGTTTTCCTGTTCTCTCAACTCATATCAAGGTAAAGTTTTAAAAATTATTAACATCTATCAATTTATTTGAATATTTCCATCAAACCTTTCCTTATCTTCTCATTTATTTCCATGCATGAAATTCATTAGTTTTATTTGAATTAAATTGTTTATAGTTTTTTGATATGTGTTTTCCATTTTTATTCCACAGACCAGTCAAATGTTTCGCTAAAATAATTTTTATCTGCATATAAACACCTAATTACGCTGACAATGATTTGATTTTAGCTTTTTATTTTAACCTTGTTTTTTTCTTTTTCTTTTGCGGATTTGTTCTGTTTTGAAACCTTGATTGAGGAGGGTGGGTGCTGTTGAATTATCAATCCGTATTGAAAACCTGTCATTCTGTTTTATATGAAAGAATACGAACGTTGGGTGTTTCATATAGTAGTACATTTTAATTTTACTGTTGACCTTAATGTTGTATACTAAAATCAGTAAATTTATGTGTCGTGGTATTGATAAAATTGAATGATATATTTAAGTCTAGATATGCGCCACACCGAGAGACTCCCTCGTCGCCCTCTAACCAAATATCCTGCGTCCGCCACTGGTCTTTAGGCAGAAGCGGGGTGCTTTTTATGTGGTTATTTAACAAACGTACCTGTAATCGCTTCCAATACACAAATCAACTGGTTACAACAATATGTCTCCATACCGAAGTAGAGGAAACAAGCTGGGTTTCTAAAAACAAATATTCCAGTTGGTTTAAATGTTATATTCTAGTAATTGATCTCTGTAGGTTTTTTGTTTGTTTGGGGCTTTTTTTAATTGTATTGTTTATTGTATTTACTTCACCTCTCTTGGTATTTTACAAAATAAAGATGTCATATATTTCAAGTTACAGGACGATAATTAGTTTATCACATGTTTTTAGTCAAATCAAATCACACGACTGGATACATCGATAGCAATAATGTTAAATTATCATCGGTTTTTATTTCTAATAATTCGACAATTTTTCTTCCTATTTTATTAGAACTATAATTGAATCTTTATTGTGGAAAAGTTTGTGATATAATTTAATTAAATTAAACAACGCGTTTTACCAGTATCTACTAAGAAATTGCGTTTCTTCTATTTTTCATATAAGAATTGGACAATTGTCATTTTTGAGCTAGACCACATCAAAATCTCAAAATAGAACAGGTACTTTCACCAGCACCAAAGTCGCCCGTTCCGCCTATTCAGTTTGGCATTATTAATTCGTAAACTAAAACCACGAATGGAAATGAAATGGGGTTCTACTGTTCTGCACCGACCGGGAAAATGAAGACGGGCATACGCCATACATCGTGCTATGAAGGAAATTTTGCCCGGGCAGCGGCACTATGGCCTACTCTTATATCGAATTCCAACTACCAAGGGATCTCTTACGTGCACGCCAATGTATACACAGGACCTCGGTTTTTCGTCCCATCCGAACGACTAGACAGCTGTCCTTGTCAGACCCTCCGTCCTGCACTACTAACAAGGGGAAGCCACGTTGGAAAATCGCGGTGAACTTTCTCGGCCAATGCAGGGATCGAACACGAGACCTCCAGGCTAGCGAGCCAGCGACTTTCCCACTTAGCCATCGTGGCTCCTCCAGGAACAATAAGCTTGCTGACATATCATAGAAGTAATGAAATTTCTTCATCTTTACCCCAATCTTATTAAAATTAGATTACAATTTCCTTCGGTTCTATTGTCCTTCTGAATTTTGAATTTTACACTGCATTGTCATCTAACCACCTTTCAGTCAAACATCTCGAAACAAATAAAAAAAATATCCATATTGATGTAAGGGTCCGAATAAGCCATGTCCCGGTAAGCCATGCGATTTTTTATTATTTTATTTTTGTGGGGGAGGGGGGGTATGTTATTACAGGTGGCATAGGAGAGAAAGAGTGGGTGCTTACGTCCGCTCAATACAAACTAGGTCATTCCGGTACTAACGCGTAATACATCTCTATTTCAATAATTCTCTTCCAAGTGGGAGGGAATCGAAAGACCAAGAGAAACCCGCCCATTTAAAGGAACATAGGATTCAATCCAAGCACAAAGAACATAGACTATGCATACAGTTGGTTGGCTGGTATGGACACAATTTCAGGCTTATTATTTTATGAACCTAGACAAATAAATATCAAACGGTCAGATCGGGATATACAATAATGTAAACATAAAATGAGCGAGCAATAGTTTTCTATCTGAAAATTCCTTTTCATGATAAGAGTACTCGCCTTATTATTTACTGCGGATTTTAACCTTTAAACGAATAGGCTAGCGACCAAGGCCCCAAAAATGGCTTAAATGGCGAGATACCCCTACCCGAGGTAGAACAAAACACTGATAGAGTCACATCACCAGAACTGAAAACTGGTTCTTGGGCATATTTTCAACATGGTCAATATATTTTTTTGCACTTTTACCAATGGTCAGGATTTCTTTGGACAAGGCATATTAGGTTTCCGCCTCATGACGTGGAAGACGTCATCTGTTCGAGGAAGAGATGCTGCCAATATGTCCGTTGACGTATAGCAATAACGTAACGCAATTCGTCAAGGGTACAACGGGCGCGTGTTTTGTTCCTTGTTAAATTTATTACAGAGAACATTATACCATAAGTTAATTCAAGGCTCTCTTAATTCAACTTGTGTTGTTACAACCAGATAACGCATGTGCTGCAGGTAAACATAGGCTGACTATTTTTCCTAGGCTTGTTGTCCCCCGCCTTTCGAAGAAAGCAGGGGACTATTAAAATGGGTTCGTCCGTCTGTCTGTCTGTCTGTCCGTCCGTCCGTCCTTCTGTCTGTCTGTCCGTCCGTCCGTCTGTCTGTCCGTCACACTTTTTGGGACACGATAACCCTCCTTCTAATTGACCTAGAATGTTCAAACTTGGTGTAGGTGTTTATTAGGTCAATGTCTTGATGGAGTTCTAAGATGAGCATTTTCGGCTTAGGGTAAGCAGAGATAAGCAATTTGATTGGTTGATGCTTTGGGACACGATAACTTTAGTTCTAATTAAGTGGGAGAGATGAAACTTGGTGTATAGTTTCATTACATCAATACCTTGACTAAGTTCGATAATGAGCATTTTCTGCTCGGGGTAAGCAGAGCGATATGCAATTTGATTGGCCGAGACATTGGAACACAATAACCCTCCTTCTAATTGAGCTAGAATGTTCAAACTCGGTGTAGGGGTTTATGAGGTCAATGCCTTGATGGAGTGCGAAGATCAGCATTTTCTGCTTAGGGTAAGCAGAGATAAGCAATTTGATTGGTTGATGCTTTGGAACACGATAACTTTAGTTCTAATTAAGTGAGATTGATGAAACGTGGTGTATAGTTTCATTACATCAATACCTTGACTAAGTTTAATGATAAGAATTTTCTGCTTAGGCTAACGAGAAATAAACAATTTGATTGGTCAAGACTTTGGAACATAACAACTCTTCTTCTAATTGAGGTAGAATGTTTAAACTTGATGTAAATGTTCGTCTTGATTGAGTTCAATGATTAACATATCGAACTAAAGCTAAGCAGAGATAAGCAATTTCCTGCTTTGGGACAAGATAACTTTGACTCTATCTGATAGAGAGTGATGAAACTTAGTGTATAGTTGATAATCAGCTTGATTGCTTGATACTTTGGAAAAAAAATAGATGTGCGATTAATTAATATATGTCATCTATTTATTTGGGGATGTCGGCGGGGGACATCAGCCTCACTGTTGGCTTGTTGAAATTTCATGAACAGTTGATTTTCATTCATTGCCAGGTATCAATGTTGATATAGTTGGTGGTAGAATCTGCATCATCGCTTCTAATTATTATATGAGAATGATTATCCACAGTGTCAACTGTATGCAGCAAAATCTTTGTGTCCGCCTCCTCGTGGTTTCTGAAACAATAGGCGTTTTGGGGCGTTCAAGCGGTTTTCATATCTCTTCAAATCATGATACATATTAATTCCCCCTGGTTTTGCTCGAACATCTTGGTATATTACTTTTAGGGGTGGCCAGACCATTCTGTTGATAAAGAACGACAGCCATTGAATGTGTAGTATTTTTACCATTAAGAGTCTCTTCAATTCGATTAAAGTTGTCAGTGGGCGAATCTCTCATAGCAGCTCATTCGGAAGTAACGGGTCTTCTGTATTTAATTGTTCGCAGGATTGTTCGTATGACCAAGAGCATGCAAAGTCACGGTGCATTTGGAGATAGTATGAGACTGGAACATATCAGCTGGTATCCCAAAATTCAGTACGACTTATCACCTTCTTGTTGGATATTATGTTGGTTAACAAGCACAAAAGTTTCTAAGGCCAAGTGGAACGAAATCTTTGCATAGTGTTAATGTAACACTATTAGTGATAATGGAATATCAGTTTTGTAAATAAAATATTTATTTACATCGAGAACAAGAATATAAAACAGGAACATAAATAAAACAGGAACTAAACTACGTCAGGAATATAACAATAACATTAACATGGTACATTAAGACAACCATTCCGCCCTTTTGCCACGGCAGCGGCTAAACTCTAGTGCGTCCATACGCTGGCCTTCGCTCTTCTCTGCTCTTCACCGCTTGTCTTATATACCTTCGTATTACATTCTATTTAATCAAGAGCATTGTCACTACATCTGGAAATTATTACGTCCGTAAATAAATACGTTCAAATATGTATTGGACGTGTATATATGTAGTTTATATCGTAGATCAATAACGTGAGGTTCAAAAGGTTCGCACACGAGGGGTTCAAATTGGGTCGATGTATCTAAATAAATATATATTTTACATGTATAAATTATTATCTTAATATGATACAAGTTATTGAGCACTTTGTCAAATTCAATAACAGATACTGTAACACTATTAGTAGTGATAACAGAATATCAGTTTTGTAAAAATAAAATTTATTTACATCAGGAACATAAATATAAAACAGCTACATATTTAAACAGGAACATAAATTAAACAGGAACTAAACTACATCAGGAAAC